GTTTAATCCCTTCTGGGCTTATTGTGTGACCGAGAAATTCTAAAGCTTGAACACCGAAAACACACCTACTTTGATGTATGTTTATTCCATGTTCATCCAGTCTTTTCAACACTGCTTTTACATGCTGTTCGTGTGATTGCAAATCGGGGCTGGCAATTAACAAGTCGTCTATATACCCCTGTGCAAATGGCATATCTCGAAGTAGGTTATCTATGAATCTTTGAAATGTCTGTGCCGCATTTCTCAGGCCGAATGGCATGCGTACAAACTCGAATAAGCCAAAGGGTGTAGTAATAGCTGTCTTGGGAATATCTTCATCAGCCACCGGGATATTGTGATATGCCCTGACTAAGTCAATTTTAGTGAATATTTTCATACCCTGTAAACCGTTGGTGAAATCTTGGATATGAGGTATTGGGTACCTATCTGGTACGGTTTGACGGTTTAGGGCTCTGTAATCCCCGCACGGTCGCCAGTCACCTTCATTCTTCTTTGGGACCATATGCAAAGGGGATGCCTATTGACTATCAGAGGGACGGATAATACCCAGTTGTAGCATATAATCAAACTCGGCCCTAGCGATTTTGAGCTTATCTGGTGCTAGTCTCCTGGGTTTTGCAAACACCGGTGCACCTTCGGTTTTGATAGTGTGACTTACTTTTAGTTTGTCTTTGGAAGGCTGTGGGTTTGGTTTAGTTAAGTTTGGAAATTCCGCGAGTATATCTTGGAATTTCGCTGTTGTTACTGGGGGAGTTTGAATCAAGTTAAGAGAGCTGATGTGACTTTCTTTGCCTTTTGAGTAATACGAAGTTTCTTTTAGTGTTAATCGCCGTTTTTTGGTGTCAACTAGAAATTCGTATCTCTCCAGAAAGTCCATCCCCAGTATTGCCAGATCTAAGTCGGGTACCGTGAAAACCCAAGGGAATTGCCTCCTGAACCCCAAATCTAGGGTTAAAGTTTTCTGCCCAAATGTCGCGATTTTAGTTTTATTTGCAGCTTGAAGTGTAATTGATGATGTTTTTTGACTAATCTCAGTTTTATTTTGAGGGATGATGCTAAGAGCAGCGCCAGTATCCACCAAGAAATTCAAGCCAGAGTTTTTGTCTCTAACATGAAACGAGCGACTGTTTAGGCGCCCCTCCTCAGTCGTCGCGACCTGGGGAGGGGTTACTCGTTTCCTGCTGTCTTAGAATTATGCTTAGGCCAGGCGCATGGTTGCATGCACTTGGTTGAGTTGACACCAAACTTCCAGTGGTACCAACAAAACTGCCCAGATTGTCTGGACATTTGTGACCTGTTTTGTGACTTGGATCGTGGTCGTTGTGGTGACCTGCTCCTGTTTCTATGACCCATTTGCATTCTGGTGACAGCCTCAGTGAGACTCTTAACACTCGCAATGAGTCCTTCTATTACGGGGTCTTTTGCTGATTCTACTTTTTGTGTGTGATTTATTGTGCCTGATCTAGTTGGAGGACCTCTTTCCATTATTCTGTCGGCTATACGCGCTAAATGCGATAATGAGGTTTCAGGATCCTGTGCATCCAAACAGTGTTGGACGTAGCATGGGAGAGCTTGTATCCATCCTTGTTTTAGGACTGCTTCACTCACTGTGTTATCACCCACTAAGACTTGGAGGTGACGTAAAAACTGTGACGGCGACCGATCACCTAGTGTTTCACCTTGAAAAAGTCTTTGGATTCTTTGACTATCTGATAATGATAAACGGTTCATTATCTCTCGTCTTAAGATGCTGTATGGTTGTGGTGATGGTGGACTTAAAATCAAGTCACGGACTTCTTTGGCGACTGAAGGAGGAAGGATAGAACACAAGTCTCTATAGCGAATCCCTTCAGATTTGATATTGTGTCTCGTGAAATAATGCTCTAGTTGAGCAAACCACAACTCAGGATCACTACGATCGAATTCTGGAAGTCGGGATTTCGTAGTCATAACAGTGTTTATCTCCACTGGTGACAAATCCTCCAGATTATGGGTTTCTATTGAGTCTGACATGAGGTATGTGACAAATATAGCAATAAAGTAAGCACAAAAAGTGGTTACTATAACACGAATAACTTAAGATAATAGGGAATAAACTAGTTATATACTCAAATTAGTTTACGGATAATCAGGTCTACTTTTACGATTAAGTAAAAAAAAATGTTAATTACAGAAATGAGGTCAAATTTGTGTTCAAAAAGGGCTCACCAATTTCGTGCCTTAAAGTAACCCTCGTGCTATTGATAGAAGAAACCAGACAAGTAGTGAATAGGTCTTTATTTCGATCTTAGCGCAGTCACAGTGGAGCGTGGGATTATCTGTTCAGACAAACAAAGGCTCTCAACATTCAATATAAGATAATAGGGAATATAACGCTTATACAGAACAAGGAAGTGCTTTGTAAGATTGGATGTACATCCTATTGTGTGGTGAGATATTTAGTAGTATTTCGTGATATATGTAGTCATCTGTAAAAACTTGTTGACCCAGTATTATTTTGGCTTGTCTTTTTGTATTCGACAAGTAAACAGGGAGTGTAATAACATTGGTTACATGAATATCCAAATCAATGTGTTTCATAGAAACCGTATTACATTCAGATTTTTGCTGGATATGCTTTATATTGATCTAGGTGGTCCTTTGAGAGCCACTTTGGTTCAGCAAGGTTGTAGAGATTTATCGGAGAAGGGGTTCCATCAGTCTTAGTAGGATATCACGGTTTGTGCGATTCTCTTAACTCATCTGTTATAACTGCACCTCTTTGTCTTGTCTAATTAATGGTCAACACAAACTTTTATCATGTTCTGGATTTCATCTTTGTGAGTTACTATTATCAGAATTACTCTTTACATCCCTTGTAGGTTTTCTCCCACTTCCAGTCTATCTTCAGACCAGCAATACGCTATCTTCAATCTGTTAGCATACTCAGAGCTTGCAAACAGCATATACTTTATCGTGATATGGACTTCTATATCAATGTACCTCCTCCCGTGCATTTTCTTGATGTTACTGAAGCGTTCAAATCACTTAGCAATGTGGAAAAGGATTATGTTTTCAGCTGCACACAAGCGTCTTGGATTGGAGGTCTCATAGGATTAATTCAAACATCTCCTGAGTCTGCCGGAATATTTTTGTTTGTCAGTCGCTTTTTCCATTTGGAGAACGTACATTCCTTTGTTGAAAAAGCGACAAAAAATAATTTTTCCGATGAGGAAATAACCCACATTTTATCTTATTTCGCCTCAGTGCTGGGTAATTTCGGGAATTACCTGTCTTTTGGGGACACCAAGTTCATCCCAGCTATCAATGTCGACAGGGTAACAGAATTTTTATCGTTGAGCAGTGAATTTTCTAATTCAGAAACTGGTCTTAAAGCTTTATGGAAAGAAATAGCTCCAGCCATCTATTCGTTAAGTCCTCGCCGTTTACGCCTTGGTTTTAGTCCCACTGAAATAACGTCTTATTACTCTGAAGACTGTATTCGAAGTGATGCTGAACTAGTTCAAAAATATCTGGAAAACGTTAAAATTGAAGCGTATAATACCCGACTTTTTAAGAGTAGTAACTCCAACTCCAAAGTTTATTCGGTTCGGTTTGCGTCGGCTGAGAAGAAAGTTCAACCTGTGCATTTTGATGCCCTTCCTTCGGGAACTTCTTTGCAGCTCGAGTATGGTGACTACTGCGAACTTATGGAGTTACTGGTTGACTGCTCTTTAGATGCCAAAGCACACTCTCTTAACAAAATCGAATCAGAAATGTGGGATCATTATGCTCAGAGCTTTTATACTGGGTCCTTAGACTCTCACAAAGATGCTTCTAGACTATGGGTCAAGGACAAATGCCCTGTGGTTGAAAATTACATTGGCTTTATTGAAACTTATCGTGATCCTTTAGGTGTACGTGCAGAGTTCGAGTCGTTTGTCGCAGTTGTGAATCGATCAATGTCATCTAAATTTCAGCGGCTAGTAGATAATGCTGTTGACTTGTTATCTAATTTGCCATGGCCTTCTACTTACGAAAAAGACAGGTTCTTACAACCAGACTTTACAAGTTTGGACGTAGTAACGTTTGCAACCTCAGGAATCCCTGTTGGAATTAACATTCCTAACTATGATGATGTGCGCCAAGTTGATGGATTTAAAAATGTATCCTTGGGGAATGTACTCAGTGCTCGCTTCAAGGTAAAGTCTGTTTGTATAACCTATTTTTCGTATTAGGACCCTAAATCAGAGTTTCTCTGAGAGGAAGACAAGAAGTTGTATGTGGATCATGCGGAGAGTTCTTTCGAACTTCAAGTTGGACTTCATGAATTGTTAGGCCATGGTTCTGGGAAGCTCTTTCAACGTAGTGACGATGGAATACTGAATTTTGACACGAATTCTACGAAAGATATCATAAGTGGAGGTCCCATACGTAGTTGGTATGTCGGTTACTTTCACTTTCCTATGGTTACTATTATTGCTAGCCGGTTGGGCTAGTCCAAGAGACTTCCTAGGAGTCCCTTAAGAGGAAACTTGACCTATTCTTCAGGACTAAGGATATTGTCTTACTATGATTTACCAATTTCTTTTTTCCTCTATTATCGGTAATATTTCTAGGTTCCTGTCTGGATGTGTTGGTGGTTCATCACTACTAGACATGAGATCCCGTTAGGCGAAAACTTCTTCTATTCCGTCCACAGCCATTTGTACCATTCGAACATTTGTCTTTCTAAAAATATTTTTTAAGGTGTTTTTGATTAAATTTAAATAAAAATTTCCTTATTCTTCATACTTTGTACTATTTTTTACCAGCTAGCTGAAATAGGAAAACTATACTTATATTACGTCATTTTTATGCACCTTCAGGTCATTATCGCGCAAATGTCTGTGGCGCTGTGTTTGGTTGCGGTGCAAAGAGTCAAGGAGTGGATGATGCATATAGCTGTGTGTTAACTACATATTATAGTAAACCTACTTCGGAACTGCAAGCTGTTCTTGTCGTCTAAATTTTTGTTCCAGATGAAACTTTGTGAGAAGCTGTGTTTTGTTGTAGCAATGTCTGTTATTCTTACTACAATGTGTTTCGCTATTATCAGACCGGCACTTGTGTTATACAGCTTCTCTTCTCTTTTCATCCTTTTATACCTCTTGAGAGTTTACAACTACTGGTACCTCTCGTTTGACTATTATGAGTGACAAATTTAGGAAAAATAAATACTTATTGTTCATGTTGGACCCATGCTACTTTATCAACTTTGTGTCATTGATCTTCATCTGGTTAGTATTTGTACTAATATTTGTATTTCACAGGTTATTGCCGCAATCGCACGCCATGCAGTTGTTCCACTTTGGTCTTGCCAATTCTCTAGCTTTCGGTGGGGCGTTTCTGTTCCGTAACACCCTTGCTCTGCACGACATTCAAAGACTTACTTCGTGTTTTATACACGTCTTGCCTGCCCTTTTCTCATTCTTGCAAGTTTCGGTTTGTTAGTGTGTTTTCATTTGATTCGATATATTTGCGTTCCATGGGTTTTTATCCCATACTGTTTTTATAATTTCTTGGTGACTGGAATCGAAACTATTCTCGGCTTTTTTCTACATAAATCCAGTTAAGATTTAACTAGACTGAAGTGTGTGGAGATTTTTTTTTGAGGGTTCTTAAAAGATAACAATTTAGGCTCAAGAGTTGTATTTTAGTGATTTTTTAGTGTGAAAGGGAGTAATGATCCTGTCTAACTATATCTATAAATTATCCAATTTCACAAGAAAAAAGGATCGCTTTGTCGTAATCACAGCGCATCAACCAGTCAATGTGATACATAAGGTGTTAGCCGACACTCATGAGGCACCTAAATTTGTCTTGGAAATAGCAAACACAAAAGCAGCCAGCAGGTTCCAGATCTGGTCGTGAATATAAAAACCGGGCTGTAAATTTCTAGTAGGTCCCATAATTTATGCAAACGTATTGACTCTACTGTAGTAATGCTTCTTGATTTGACGGCGTCATATGGCTCCTTTGACTGAAGGTTTCATGTTAACATTTTTATTGAAAGTCACATTGTAGAAATCATATCAATCTACTAAAAATCAGTTTTACGTACACTACTGGTGAGGTCAGAACTGGTAGTGAACTGTCCTTTAAATTGATCTCAACAAACAGTGTTTATTAGGGCTACGAAATTTCCTCATGCTTAAACGCTTTCGTCAAGAATATGATTACATGGTTAAATTTTTTTCCTTATGACTTTGCAGAGATACCCTAACATAACTCATTTATTTACTAGTGTAGATGACACAACTGTTTGAATGAAACAATTACTAAACGCTTTGGGAACGATCCAGAAATATTTGGAATAATGGCATCGATCTCAGTTTAATACATATGCTTACATACGTCTTAAGTTTAGAATTTAAGCTTATAACAGTCCAGAAACAGTAAGCTAATTGTTAATGTCATATGTTTTTCATTTTTCGAAATAATTCTTTTTGTTATATTCACAGAATTCGGTGGCATCCATCGGAAACATCAGTTTGGTGGTATACCAAGTTATATGATTCCCATGCTTCTCTAGAATTGTTGTCCTGGAATAAAAATATCGACTGGTTCTGGCTTGTTGCAGCTCCTACTTTATTCCATTTTGTACGTGAGGTAGGTAAGAACTACACATTTTAGTTTGTGTTTATCCCTTTCTTATATACCAATAATTTTCACTTTCTGTCTCATTGCTCTTACTGACTGATTAAAATGAGGTTAAACTGTCAAACTACACTATTTCATATTTTCAATCAGCAAGCAAGAGAAGTAGCAAAACATTATGTACAGTGCTCTGTAATCGGATACATCTCGAAGTATTGACCACAATTCAAGTTGGACTGTTGATACTTTTATTCCTCTCATGATTAGAAATGGAAACTAAGTGCTGTGATGTTGATTAATCCACAAAGATAATCTAGTCTTATAAGCCTTATTTATCAGTATTTCTGGGTTCCTAAAAATTAGGCAATTACTTAACAAATTAAACCTAGTAAGAGAAATGGTGACATTCGACGGCTTCAAAGAGATTGAAATGAAGAAAAATGGATGAAATTTGACTAAAGGACAAATAAATTTAGTATAGTATGATATAAGTTTCGAAAAAATGAGTATATGACGATTTTTTGGAACATTGAACATGTTCATCACCATTTAAAGCGTTCTATGACAACCCCTATTCTGGATTAATGTGAATGTAAGACATCTGAGATTGTCGAGAATTTAAATATCTAGGGTATAGTTTCACATATTCTAACCCAACAGTATTCAGTATGAATGGAGCGACATGTTATTGAAAATTGACGATCAGCAGTTGTGGTAGTAACATATTTGGGGTCGAAAATCATTCAAATGCAGTATGTTGTAACGAAAATTATAGTCAGTTACTCATTCAATGGAGTAAGCCATAAAAAATAAGGGTAAGAGAAAAATGAATGTTTATAAAAGATGTACTGCATTGGAAATTTAAGTATTTTGTGATGAATTGTTTTATGGGGATATAAAAACTTGATGGTAGTACATGTGTTACATTAGATGTTTCGTAAAAGGACATTTTGATAGCGTTTGTTAAGAATGCGTCAACAATTTAGTCAAATACATATGGTCCGTACATATATGTATACTCCTCATCATCTGATGGTTGAATCTTTTTGCAAATAAATGTTAAATCTTTTAGATAAAACTGACCTATAAGGGTGAGTCAGGTAGGAGCGAGTTGCTTCTAGGTTACAATGCACATATCAAAGCAGAACACTGCTTGTTAAGCGTGGTTGATTTAATTTAATAATGAAAATAAAATTAAGTGCTCAAGGTTAGGGTTAGAAATCGGATTGAGTGTTTAATATATTTAGGCGTTTTACCACCTTTTAAAAAACTAGATCATAGGAAAGGTAAGTTTAAAGAAAAAATTATACATCATGTATTCTTGATTTAGCTGAATTGATGGAAATTTGTTAAGTCCTTTTGCTGTGGAAACTTTAAAAATTTCTGTATTATAAAATAAAGTATTTGCATATTCTAAAGAAAAATAATATATTTGTAATATCCCAATGAGTAGAAAATTGGATTTTCTGAAAAACTTGGATTAATTTTAATTTGGTTATTTATTCTCTGAAGAAGTGACTTACGCTAAGTCATGAAACGTCAGAAAATCCAATTTTCTACTCATTGGGATATTGCAAATATGTTATTTTTCTTTATAACAATCTACCCAATGCTCAATTTATTCGAAATTATCAAATCAAACCTTAGTAATGACACCTATTTGCATATTCATCCATATGTTTGTTTTGTTATTGGAATATATTTATTTATATTCACTTCGGATGTTTTTTTAAATGATCAGTGTAACCGCGTTAGTAGTGTTTAGATTTCATTTGAATTATTTGGCTGTATCATCTAACAGTATAAACATATGTAGTTAAGTAGAAGAAATTCGTTTAAATAATCGATCACAGTGATATTATTTTATTGTAATTAATACATCCAGCACAAGTAAATTTTTTTATTGCGTATGCTGTTTCATCATTCTTTGGCAACCAACTTTTTTTATAGTCTAGAGTAGTTTCAATAATTGTGTCGTGATGTCAATCAATTACAAACTTTTATAACATTTTCTTGTATGGGAGGATCTCTGAATCAAACGATTTACTTACACATTAGTCTAAAAAAATACTTGTCAAATAGTAATGTGTATGACTAAAATAACGACATCAACATGTTCCTATTTCCGTTCATACTTTACCGAAGTATTAGTTGGTGTAGTGGTGTATTATTGATAAATAACTTTATAATTAGACATTGTTGCTTATTTCTTATCGCTTTTTATTAGATGCTATATTATACTATAATTTATGGAATTGTCAAACCCAGTGATGATTATTTAGATAGTTTCCGATATTTACATAAAAAGAAAATTCTATGGCGTTTCTTCTGGAAATATATTGGTGATCGGTAAGTATATATATATATATATCATACATAACATATATATATGGTATATATATAATATATAAATGTGTTACTTTAACTATTACGATGGTATATGATATATATAGGATTTTTGGTACAGTACAACTGGGAAGTATTTCTTATTACAAACTGTCAACAACTCTTATTTGGCACTACCAAACCATGAAATGTAAGATAAATGTTTATGTAGTTGTGGTTGATTTTTCGGACATTATGTACGTGTATTTATTGTTGCATAATTTACCAATTTTATCCAGTTTATTCAACTCATTTACCAAGTACGGATTCATGCACTTGGAGGTAAAATCTAAGCATGTGATCTGATGATACTAACCGGTCACCCAAACCGAAATAGATAAAGTTCAAACTGTTCAATTAGTGACTTAGAACCAAATACCTCAACCACTAAGCCACCACTTCGCCCTTTATCTAGTTAACTTGTGCCAGAAGACTCGTTTGATTGATGTTTATTAGTCTTATGCACTCACCGTAACTGAGATAATTAATGTATAATTGTCTGTTTGTAGTTTTGAGATATAACTGCTAGTCAAGTTGCTTATTTGTGTCTAGATGTTATTATTTCCTGACTAATACAGCAAATTATGGTTACTACCTATTATATAACACTGGATGCACAATTGTTTGTTATTTAAAAACCTTAACACTGCGAATTTTATGAGTTAACAGCTTAAAGCGTTTCTTGTATGTATTGGGATTTGGAGAGCTAATTAGTAGCCTGTTCATGGTAGTGTTGTCTGTAGTTCAGTAAACCAGAAATATACATTGTTATTGATATTTAGATACATCTTTTATTTCAGAATCAAATGAAAATACCATTAGATCAATAAATATTGATAGTGTTTCACTCTTTACTCCGTTTATTAGTGCCCAACAGTCCCCAATATCAAGACTAACAGTTTATTTATCTATCGTGCAACTTTCATAACTAATCATCTGATTTCAGATTATTGAATCATTACCAACAATATATCAAGATCATTAAATTTCATTTCACCTTTAATAATCAGTTCAGTAATATATAGAATTTTACAATCCAAGAAAATTTAACACATCAAATCTTATTGTAACATTTGTAAATATGTGAATGTATCGATTAACATATGAACACCATCATTTATAACAATGTTTAATAGACACTAATAAATATGAATTCTAATTTTCAATTATCTTAATGACTAAATCAACGCTATTATAGATCTCATTACCAAAGTTTGACTTGATAATTTCGGTTAAATTGAGCATTGGGTAGATTGTTATAAATAAATTAATATATTTGTAATATCCCGATGAGTAGAAAAATTAGATTTTCTGACGTTTCATGACTTAGTGTAAGGCACTTCTTCAGAGAATTTATAACCACATTAAAATTAATCCAAATTTAAATAGTACTATTTGTACTATTGTACTATTTGAACTTGGATTAATTTCAATGTGGTTATATATTCTCTGAAGAAGTGCCTTACACTAAGTCATGAAACGTCAGAAAATCTAATTTTTCTACTCATCGGGATATTACAAATATATTATTTATTTATTATTATAGATCGTAGAAATAATCAATAATAGTAAATGTGATCAGTATTATTTGTTGTAATGTACATAAATAACAAAACAAATCTCACTAAATTGTAATGGACCAATAAAATCAACAAAAAATAGGGAATACAAAATTTATTGGATTAAGTTAACAACAGGATCAATCAAACAAGATTATGTTAATTGCTAGTTTTAGTGTATTATCACTTAACAGGTGAAATCACCTAAGATACGATCATAATTATTTTTATCTAATATAATTCAAGATTATGCAGTTTTTGTTTTTATTTATTATTCATTTGTCATCCAACACAGACAGTCTAACATGTTTAAAGGATAGGAAAGAGGTTAAAGTTTTTATTAAATTTTATTTTTATATCACTTCACTTATTTTTTATCACTGTTATTATTATTACTAGTAATTATTGTTATCATTACTGTTACTACTTATGTTTCTTCTTTTTAATATTCAAAACGATGTTATTAATATTTTTGTCATGGTTTATAAACTACATTACTTGAACCATCAGAGGGTCGATTCCGTTTATATAGGGAGTTTTGTTTTCTAGTCTATAGGTAGTTTATTATAACATCGTAGTTGTAATACAGTAAAAACAGAATTACTAAAATATTTCAGTGTCATTAATTATTTTTACAGTTCACTAAAAGATTAGTTATGATAAATGTCAAAAAGAACGATCTAAGGGGCTTTCGTCGATCAATGTTCTTTTTATCCTACAGTTGTAACAGGTATGTGTTTCAAGTAAACATACATATGACTACACTTGAAAATGAAGTGTTTTATTTTCAATCTACTACTTTCATAAACATTAATTATGACTTCGGAAAAATGCAATTAATTGTTCAATTGTCTTAAGCTTTAAATAGGATGCAATTGTTAGCTGTAATACCATATCATAACTTATAGTCTTTATCTGTTTCAATATGCAGTAACAGGGTAGTAAAATATCTCTAAGATTAAGAAAGTTTTTGTTCTTAGTGTTAATTGTCAATTAAAATATGAGATTCTGTATCTTGTACTTAGAAAATCTTCCATTAAATAATTTTTATCAGTTTAGTAAGGATTCTCCAAATTAAATTTTTAACATATAACCACAAATGAATACTATATATGTTGACTCTGTTTGAGACTACTCACTCGATCTTTGTTGAATAAATTATTATGAATCTTTAGTTACGTTCACTACAAAACAATTTATTAATTAACAACACTTTCTTTCACCAATAATATTTTTCTCTTAAACTTTCATTGGTTTACAATTACCACGGTTACGCCTTAGGATATTAAGAGGATATTTGATTGTAGGACGATTAACTTTTTAAAACTCAAATAAGAAAGAATTTTTTAATTTAATTCAATGAAATTCGTAACAAGGAATGACTTTAATCATCAGTTTCAATGGCCTTGTGTTATACTTACTTGTTTAAGTTAACACTATTGTTTTTCATATAAATTAAATCTAATTTGAATCTAGTATACAGATTGTTATCCCAGTTATTTTATTCTCGGTGTTCTAGTAGCATATTTCTAAATTGCGCTATGTATAAGTAGCTATGCTTTACATTATTATTTAATTTCCAGTGATACAGGAATAGTATATCAAGCTAGTCAGACAAATATATAACATCAATTAATATATGTTATGAAATGAAAATTAAGTTATATGTATTTAAAAGGGAGAGATGTATGAGGCAAACTGCGAGAAATTGTTATTCAGGCTATTTATCTGTTGCGTTGCTTAGCTAGTGACACCATCCGGTTTCCGAAGTAAATCGAGTTCAAACTTGTAACCTGATGATTCATGAGCTTCTCAAAAGCTCGATTTAAGATACTTAACTTTTTTTCATTTTTGCTCTAAATACTTGTACCAATTTCTGTGTACGTTTTGTGTACTTAGGGTTAGACAAACATAACATTGGTCACTACTCAGTGAACAATCAATCGTAAATAGCTCAGTTTTTTAGAAGGTGGTCAGTCTTTATCCGAATAGTTCGATGATGTATCGCCTCCCGTAATGTGAAGGTGGGTAATGTCGGTTCAAATCCTAATGAAGGCGATATCTCTATCAAGATCGCAGGTATGCTTTGCTGATGAATTCTGAGTGGCATGAAACGTAGGTACCTGATACAAATAAGAAAATAAATATTGATTTTATTTTTACCTATAATAATTTGATTTCCAACTGAATACTCATTTCTGTACCGTATTAATATCTCTATTTAATTTTTATTCATTTATAAACTAGATGGCATTTGATTAGTTGGATAGCTTGCAGTATCATACTGTCTACAATTCTCCTATTGGTTGCTGTCGTTGCATGGTGCAATTATCTATTCCATGCATCTATGTTAATTATTCAAACATTAACGCTAATATGGAATGGTGCATGTTTTTATTTAGATTATTTCCCCATTGAATATACACGTAATTTACGAATAGAACCAGAACAAGGTATGATTACTGTAACTAAAAATGAAAATCACATTGATAAGAATAATGATATAGAAATAGTTAATGAACGTATAATAAACGATGATGTTTATAACAACATAGCTGCCAGTGTATTTTCATGTTATCCAACACCAGATGAATCAAACTCGAGAGTTTATGAAGATGGGCATATAACAGTTGATGAACAAAAGGGATTGAAATATGAAAGTAATACTTCTCATTAAAAGATAACCATGATTTCTGTATGATATATATATTCACATGATTATTAGTCATAAAAGTTTATTCAAATCATTTCTTACACAATCAAACTGCAAAGCTAATTCAATCTCTTATTACAATACTGTTTCACCGGTCTTTTTATGCATAAAAAAAGTCAGGACTTTGTAACATTACGAGCATCAACGCTAATGTATTTTTAGACAGTCTCATTTGAATGGACAGTTATAATCAACAATTCAATAAAAGAATATTTATAACAAATTATCATTTAAAATATATTAACCCGACCCTGTATAATTCCGTACATTTATCATCCGGTATCAAATCATGTATAGATTTTTCATTATTTTAAACTGTTAAGTTAGTGAAAAACTGTATAGTCTCGTTGATTTCTTATTTCATCATCATCATCATCATCATTTCCTTCATTATTTACATTAATTCATTTCACTCTATAATTTTGATTTTGATTGTACGATAAATATTTTTTGAATTTATTTCTTAGTAATCATGAATTCTGTGTACTTCATATGTTTAAAGCAATTAGTTCCTTTTACAAATTTCTATAGAGTAACATTTTTTTCAGAAAAATTTCTTCTTCTTCTCATTGTACTTCATGTGTATTAAATTTTATTCTTAAAAAAAAAGAAATCAACCGTCAAAAAGATTGTTTTTATTTATTTATTTTTAAGTAGATGTTTCCAGTCATTATGAATGTATTGTTTACTTCAATGTACTTCGTAATGAAGTAGTAATTTATGAATGTTCACATTTTGTTTCTGTATATTGAGTTCCATATTTTTAAGGTAGTTGATTAATGCACCCTGATATAAGTTATAGTTTAATTGGACTGTACAAACCTGTAATCATCACGCTATAAATTTTCCCCTATAGCCTAGTGTATACAATCTTATTATGTATGTGTTGTTCATTTATTTCACGTATCATTTAGTAATCAATTGGAAAATTACACACACACACAAAATGAATTTTGTTTTGTTATTTGAATATCCAGAAAAAGCTGGAGAAAAAAATTCGTTTCAATCATAAGATGAATGGTCAATACTCCTTGATCTTTTCCTACACTTATCAATTATTTAAGATAAATACACTAAATTTTGTAAATAAATTAATTTACATTTGATATCTCTGTCTATGAAGTATGATTAGACTGTAAGTTTATTCAAATTAATTAATATAACTAATAAATTATGCTGATATATATTAATCAGTTTGACAATTGGCATATTTGTATTATATATTGTGAATTTTCAATTTACATTTCACAGTTACATCTAAATTATTAGTCCATTAATCATTAAAGGATAAATTAATGTTGTTAATGAGTCTTATTTGACGTAGTTGAATTCCATTACATTTTTATTTGTTGTTTTATTTAACTATTGAAAAAAAACCTACTCTATATGTTACATACCTAGATTAACTGGGATTTTTATATGTGATACATATTTTTCTATGTATGTGAGCATAAAGAAAAAAGTGTGTCAAATTAGCAATATTGAAATTATAATGTGTATTTTGAAACTGGATATTAGCTGTTCAAAATTTTACGAATTCCCAATATTTTAATAATTAATTTAGGAGCATATTATTCAATTAGATTTTTCTCTCTTGTCATTTGTCATCTAAGTTTATTGTTATTTGAAAGTGATTTTTATCATGAATTGTTGAATCGCTAAATGTTGGAGAATAGTGAATAAATGTTTTTTCTAGCTTAGGAATCGTCAATAGGGCAACGAATAACATACAATTGAACTACTGGGTCGATTACCAATCGTGCAAATTTTCTAAGATTCTACTAGTAATATCGATTTGTGATGAAAATTAATTTTCTAAATGTAAAACGTCTCCACAACATCATCTACCCAATTATAATTGTGTTCATTCCTGAGTAACTTTCAGATAGATTTCTTGAAATCTTAGTAGAACATCATGACTGTTATATCCGAGCGAAGATTAAATCACGAGTAACTTCTGAGATATATTAATTGACTAATATTATCTATACATTTTTGTCGTATAACTATTCAATAATCAGATTATGTATATTTACATTCCTCTTATTATAAGCTTTATTTCGACCTATAATTTATTATTGTATGATTTACTGTTCTTAAGCTATGTTCAGTTTATTGACTACTGCCTCCCACGTTCACAGCCATTTTTTGGCTTTATTGTGTACAAATGTTATTTCCTATTTTATGGTTGATTGATATATAAACCCAGTATTTTTGAAATATATGATTCGCATAGTGAGATCTGGTATTGGTGTTCTGGACTCAAGTGAACGGGCTAGGACCATAGTAGTCAAACGTCATTGGTTTGGCACAGTGCGAAAATTGTATAAGTCGTATTTTGATTGGTGGATAAATCACGTGATAAAAAGCTGGACATAAAGTCATAACAGATACCTAACCGATTATATAGATTGGAGATATCAAAATATCACAAATTAAACGAGGTGGACTAATTGATTCCAGTTGAATAGCTCAGTGGTGTCATACTCATTGTTAAGCCTGCAGATCATGTTTGGATGGAATTTTTCAAGCGAATACAAAACAACTTTGCAAATTTCCATGCATTCTTTTCTAGCTGATATCAACTTTTAACAAATCTAACTATCTATTGAATTATACAGTTTCGTAATATAATCTTATTAAATCATAATACCAACCAAATCAATTGTAGAAACGTTTTAAGACAAAGTAGGATTGTAAGTAGTCAGTCAGTCAGCTACAACATAGGTCCAAGTTGCCATACCTCATTAACACAACAAGATGGACACCGGATTCATATAAGTGGTTAATTCAGAGGTGGTAATATGTAAAAGAAAGATTGCAATAAGGATATAGTACAGGGAGAAAGGATTAGTTCGTAGTAAGAAAGATATGAAACGATTTTAATCTCTCAGTTTAAGAGAAGACAGAGAGTGTATACACCGACGCCATTGTGACCGATTCTGAGCCATGTCACCAAGAGTCTCCAGCCATTGGTTACGATAGTCACGCGGACCCCAACCAAGTAGTCTGCATCTACCAACATGGCTCAGACTAGAAGTTAGTGACTTCAAGCACTGATGCCACGTTTTGGTTTGGCCGCCCCTAACTTTCTTCCAACCATCCCGAACACCGGTCAGCATTGCACGTCGTGGTAATCGGTGTTTGGGCATACGTAACACGTGGCCCAACCATCTCAGTCGATGAAGATTAACAACCTCATCAACTGATTTACCATCATTCCCTAATACCCTGTGTCTAACCTCACTATTACTTACCCGGTGATCCCAGCAGACGCCAGCAATATTTCTAAGGCATCTGTGGTCAAATACTAGTAGCTTACGAGTGTCTTCTACTCTTAATGGCCATGTTTCGCTGCCGTAGATTAAAACAGAACGGACCGCCGCGCAGTATACTCGTCCTTTTATTGATAGACGGATATCTCGCCTTCACCATAGGTGACGTAAGTTGGTAAAAGCCCAACGAGCTTTTCGAATCCGTGCTGAGATTTCGTCAGACACCAACCCATTAGGGCTGATCAGACTTCCAAGATAAGTGAAGTTGTCAACGCAGACCAGTTCTGAAGCAACAACTTGCATTTCGAGGGAGAGAAGCGCATTCCAAACATTCTGGCATTGTTGCTTAGTGCTACCAGAAGACTGCATTCTATCAGCATCTTCACCAAACAGGACTATATCATCTACGTATTCTAAGTCGATAAGTGGACCTCCTGGAAGGAGATCAATACACGAGAATTCAGTCAACGAGAATGATATTTCCATCAATAGGTCTATGATGAAGTTAAACAAAAATGGAGAAAGAGGACAGCCTTGACGGACACCACTTGAGGTTGCAAAAGTAGATGACAGTTCTCTATAAGCTCTGACTCGACTGTTAGTTTTCGAGTAAATAGGCTTCACAAGGTTTATGTACTTCTGAGGTATGCCTTTCAATGACAGACACTGCCACAGAACCTCGCGGTCTACCGAGTCAAATGCTGCTTTTAAGTCAAGAAAGACCACCATTGTCGGACGTCGATAAGTATGCCTATGTTCTAGAACCTGACGAATGGTGAATATGTGGTCGATGCAGCCACGACCAGGTCTGAAGCCAGCGTGGTTCTCTCGTGTTTGCAGTTCACGAGTCTTATTTAAGCGTCTGATAATTATCGAGGCTTGTATTTTAGATACTATATTAGTTAAACTAATCCATCTATGGTTGTCACAGGATGATTTTGACCCTTTCTTATATATTGGGACGATAAGTGATTGGGACCAGTCAGATGGGATAACGTCTAACTCCCAGATCTTAGCTAAAATATTAGTCAACCTAATCGCTAAAATTGGACCACCATCCTTGAAGACTTCTGGAGCCAATCCATCTGGACCAGCTGCCCTTCCTCGTTTCAGATTAACTATAGCCTTTTGAACTTCAGGAAGAGTTGGGGGACCTACTTCAATGTTCCATTCACACTGTCTGGGAATGGAGGGTAGTTGTAGAGTAGCTGAAGGCCAGTTGAACTGTTCTCTGAAATGTTCCGCCCATCGTTCTAAACGTCTGGACTGAGAGCAGATGAGAGTATCGTCTTTTTCCGAAATAGTCTCACTTACACTTGACTTATTAATTCCAGTTTCTTTTATTAGTCTGTAAAGCTGTTTTGTGTTCCCCATAGTCGCCGCCTTTTCCATCTCTTTTGCTTTCATTGCCCACCACTGCTCACGGTCGTTTCTTAGACTTTTCCTTAACCTAGATCTGATTTGTTTACGCTCTTCATCATGTTCAGAACCTGATGGGACGAGTTTGCGAGAATCCATCAGTGTGATAGACTTTGAAGAAATCCACTGGTTCTTTGTAACTCTGTGGTTTAAGTCACTAATAGATTTCATTGCTGTTTCCACAGCTGTTTGTATGGCTTTCCAAGCAACAACTGGGTCAACCTCGTTTTCAGAACTACCTAATCGTGACCTCAGTTGTTCCTGGAACCTACTTTTGGTTTCCTCGCTACTCAGTTCGGTTCTAATGGGTCTTTTTACTGTGGCTTTTTTGCGTCCAGTGAGGCGCAAGCAGATGCGTGCCCGTATTAGGGCATGGTCGGAGTCCAAGCAGGTACTCCAGAATGAGCGACAATCTTGTACCGACCCTCTCCAACGACGACTGGTGGCAGTATAGTCTATTTGAGTCCATCCTTGATTTGGTGTAGGGGGTCGCCATGTTAGACGATGTCTCTCCTTATGCTTAAAATTTGTGTTTGCTAAAAATAAGCGATTGTCTGAGCACAGTTGCAGCAGACGGTCACCATTATCTGTTCGCTGTGCCGGAATGCTGAAATATCCACCTAAATGCCTTTCTGTTTGGTTTAAGCTACCTATCTGAGCATTAAAGTCACCCCCTACGAGTACTATGTCTGAGCGTTTAGCTTTCTGAAG